CACACTCACAAACACGCACGCACGCACGCGCACACACGCACGCCCGCCCGCGCGCGAATCCACCCACAAACGCAACAGTTTACACGCATACGCACAAACACACACACACACACGCACACGCACAAACCCATGCACACACAGGCACGCATGCGTGCGTGCGTGCGCCTGCGCGCGCGCGTGAGTGTGCGTGTGCGCGCGTTCGCGTGCGCGTGTGTGCGTGCGAGCATGTGCGCGTGCGTGCGCGTGCGGGTGCGCGTGAATGCGTTTGCGTGGGTGCGTGCGCGTGCGCGTGTGTGTGTGTGTGTGTGTTTGCGCGTGTGCGTGGGTGCGTTTGCATGCGCGTGTGCGCGTGCGTGCGTTGCGTGTGCGTGCGCGCGTGCGTGTGTGTCTGTGTGCGCATGTGGGTGTGCGTGCGTGCGCGTGTCTGTCTGCGTGTTTGTTTGTCTGCGCGTGTTTGCGCGCGTGCGCCCCTGCGCGCGCGCACGTGCGCGCGCGAGTGCGCGCGCGCGCGTGTGCGCGCGCGCGTGCGAGTTCGCGTTAAATTGCGCGCGCGCGTGCGCGCGCGCGTGTCCATGTGCGCGCGCGTGCGCGCGCATGCGCGGGTGCGCGCGCGGGTGCGTGTGTGTGCGTGCGTGCGTGTGCGTGCGCGCGTGCGTGTGCGTGCGCGCGTCTGTGTTCGCACTTGCGTAGGTGCGGTTATTTGTGCATGTGCGTGCGAGTGTGTGAGTGCGTGTTTGTGCGTGGGTGTGTGTGTATGCGTGTGCGAGTTTGTCTGTGTTTCTGCGTGTGCGTGTGCGTGTGCGCGCGTGTGAGCGTGCGCGAGTGTGTGTAGTGTGCGTGCGTGTTCGAGTGCGTGCGTGTCTGTGTGCGCGCGAGTGCGTTTGTGGTTGTGCGCGCCCGTGTGCGGGTGTTTGTGTTCGTGCGCGTGATCGCGCGTGCGCGTGTGCGTGTGCGTATGTGTGCGTGTGTGCGTGTGTTCGCATGTGCGTGTGCGTGCGGGTGTGTGTGTGTGTCTGCGTGTGCGAGCGCATGTGAATGTCTTTCTGTGTGTGTGTGCGTGCGTGCGCGTGTGTGTGCGTGTACGTGCGCCTGTGCGTGTGCGCGTGCGTGCGTGCGCGCGCGTGCGCGTGCGTGGGCGTGCGTGTGATTGTGTGTGCGCGTGGTTGTGTGTGCGTGCGCGCGTGTGTGCGCGTGTGCCTGCGCGCGCATGTGTGTGCGTGTGCGTGCGCGGGTTCGTGCGCGTGCGTGCGCGCGTGCGCGCGTGTGTGCGTGCGTGCATGCGTGTGCGTGTATGCGTGCGTGTGCGGTGTGTGTATGTGTGTGTGCGTGTGTGTGTGTGTGTGGTTGCGTGCGTGCGCATGTTTGTGCGCGTGTGCGTATGAGTGCGCGTGCGTGCGTCGGTGTGTGCGTATTTGTGTGTGTGCGCGTGTGCGCGCGTGCGCGCGCGTGCGTGCGTGTTTGTGCGTGCGCGTGTGTGCGTGTGCGTATGTGTGTGCGCGCGCGAGTGCGTGTGCGTGTTTGCGTGTGTGGGCGCTTGCGTCTGCGTGCGTGTGCGCGTGCGTGCGCCTGTGCGCGTGCGTGTGCGCACGTGCGTTTGCGTTTGCGTGCGTGCGTGCGTGCGTGCGTGCGCGCGTGTGCGTGTGTGTGTGCGTGCGTGCGCGCGCGTGCGCGCACGCGTGCGCGCGCGCGCGTGCGCGTGCGTTCGTTGCCCGCTCATAGCGGAGACAGCGCATCCTCGCGCCGTCTCGCGCCAGGCTGCACGCCGCGGCAAGCAATGCCGGCTGCAGCGGATGAAGGGGAGTCACGCGGGCGGCGCACGGCCCACTGCGCATCCACCCAGCGCCAAACAACGCACGCACACCGTACGCTGCTCTTGTCGCACCCATCCGCCTGGACCGGCCCCTTCCCGGCACGGGGCCCACCGACGCTCGCGCGACTTGCGAAAAACGCGCGCCACCTCGGCGGTTGCCGCTGTCGGTTTTGGCAAATGGACCAGCCCATTCCAGGCGGCGCGACGGGGCGGCGCCTGCACCGCGCGACTCCGCACAAGGCTTACAATGGCCTGTGGGAACGCGGGCGGGTGAGAGAGCGCGTTTGAGCCACGCGCGCGCGCGCAAAAGGGAAGGAGGGGGGAGGGGCCGCGAAGAGGCGCAGCCCAGCAGCCACGGCCATGCCATCATACCTGAATGGGAGGAGGGGGAGAGAGGGGAGGACGACAAGGCGAGGGAAGAAAAGATGGAGGATAGCCAAACTCAAAAAACAAAAAAAAAGCCGCGAGTACGCATACACTGACGAACCACAGCGCAGCACGGCACGGGGGGGCCGTCCGCGTGCGTGTGCTCCACTTCACACCATACGCACAGCGCAGCACGGCCGCGCGTGCGCGCGTGTGGCAACCCATCGCAGCACAACACAGCACATCACGACACGCCACAGCAAGACACAGCACACCACCGCACATCACATCACATCACATCACAGCACATCCCAGCGCATCACA